CCCGCCAGCCTCAGCCCTGCTGTTCCTCCCCAGCCGGCGTCCAGGGCAATGCCACAGCAGTTGAGCAGAGAGTTGGGCTCAAAAATAGGGACTGGAGCCTTGGATAAGGATGGCTAGGCTTAAATGCGTTAGCCTGATTAATGCGCAAGGAAACAGGGTGTTGTGTGCAAGCGCCTGGCTTTTCTAAACCAGCCCCTCTCCGTTTTCCACGGACATCTTTTTGAAGGATCAGAAATGCAGGCACAGGAACACAGCTATGGCCTGAAACCATTACATGTCCTTTGACAGCGAGGAAGGAAAAAGCCGACCAGTTGAACTCCAAGGCGTGAGAGAGCGGGAACGCTGCCCTTGGATGTAACGGGGGTAAGTTTTCACGTGGGGTGTGTCAGGACATTTCCAATAAAATTTTCATCCAGATGTCCTGGGGCAAGTTCCTGAACATGAACAGGAATGTCTTCAGCGTGCCCCTGTGAGCTAAGCGTGCTGCAGGGGAGGCGTCCAGAACAGAGACTGGTGAAGACTTCCATTTATTCACGTTGAAGCAATACAAGATCTGAGAAAAGACCCCCACCCCATGGGTTCTGAGTTGGAGTTCATTCATGCCACTGTAATGTACTTTTCTTAATAAAAAATACTTTAGTGATTGCTGCTGATTTATGCCCTCGTTAGGTCAAAATCAGGACTGAGGGGCTGGCTCTCTGGCAAGCAGTGGCTGCAGCCCTTTGAGGGGCAGGACTTCACACTCCTCATTACACACGGTACTGATGGACATCTTACCTATGCGCAAGAAAACATTTTGTGCTTGGTCTACAAGAAGCCACTTCAGCTCAGGAAATGTGATGCTTCCCACTCAGCCATCACACGGTGGAAAAAAAGCACCCCAAGAGCTGTTTTTCTAACAGTTCTCCACCAGATGCAAAGAGGTCCTTATTGGAACGTCAATCCCCTAGAAGCACGTTGATCTTGAATATCACATTAAAGTGAAGTTATCTCTAGAAATGATGTTTTTATAATTGGTCTTGTGTTAGTTTCTGGCTTTACACCCAGGCAGAATACCACCGGGCGCACTAGGGGCTGAATAAATCTTTCACTGATGAACAACAAACCTGAATTGTTTATGGAGCATGAAACAATTATCTTTGACTCCACCTGATGCTGCTGAGCAAGCTGTTCCTTTTTATTGTGCTATTATTAGACGGGAATGTAATGGGTTGGACAGCATCGCCCATGAATGGGTAGGATAACCAAGCTTGTGTCACGCACAGCTCATTCTCTAGCACAGCTCACGGCTCTGTACGCGGCCCATCCAGCTAAGTCCCGCACGGTTGGATATCCCAATAAAAAAACACATGTGAGTGCATTAATCATTTAGAAAAGAGTCCTGGGATTTTCAGGCCAGTCTTAGGGATGTCGATGTTCCAACCACTTGGGAATATAAATTGTCGTTATAGATACATGCGTCTCTCATTTCGTTTCTGTATGCAGACAATGTGTCTGCACAGTTGCTTAATACAAAATGTGAAATTCCAGCCAAGTTGCAGTCTCACTGATGAGAAATGAGAGGTAAAAAGCCCTTTGTGTTCTGAGTAGAACGGTAGCAGTAAAACTGACACAGGAAAAACCCGCATGGACCCAGAGATCCCTTGGTGAGACGGCTGCATTTAAAGAAAGGCTCAGCAACATTGCTAAAAATGGAACGGAGGGATCTTTAAGGCATCTGTCCAGGAAAGTGAAGAAAATACATTTTTGGCAGCGGACACTGAGAAAATCATGCAGCGAATACAATCAATTAAAATGATCAGAAACGCGTCCCAGTCGCTCGCCTGACTTTGACAGACCCTGTCCTGTCGTTACGCCACGCTTGCAGAAGGCGGGTAGGGGTGAATACCAGGACGGAGCGGTACTGTCATGTTTTGGGTATTCTATTCTGGATTGACATTTATCGATATTCTATTGGCATTTTGGGTATACTTATTACATACTCGTCCTTTTGCCCCTCCCTCAATGCATTCAGGCTCCTGGTGTTTTGGGCTGCTGCACGCGCCGAGGCTGAGATTTCAGGCACTAAAACGCTGGCCTTTTACAGCATTTTCCACTCCTCATTGTTTTGTATTTACGTTTTCCATTATCTTCCTACTTTAGAAGGCAATGATGATTAGGGCAGGCATTTCTGTCACTCTGTAGTAAACAGAAGAAAGCTAGCAGTATTAAATCACAGCCCTGGTCATCCCCAAAAGCAACTTATTAAAATTTCCAGTTCAAAAGTTGGAAGAATCAAGCACGGGAATACAGCTAACTATAAACTGAGGCTGCTGAAAGGTTTGGTTTCGGCAGCAGAAGCCAGAGCATTTTGGGAACATTGGGAAATTTTTAGAGGCGTTTTCTGAGAGGGGAGGAAAGACAATGAGAAGGTAGTGGGAAAGCTAAACCAAACAGAAGGGGAAACAAAACAGAAGGGGCCGGGGAAATGCAGATGCAAAAGGAAAGTACAGAAATAGATGAGTACTTGACAAATTGCAGTATTCGCTGAGGAAGCGCAACGGGCAGACCGCTGGATGTGATTTAAAAGGAAAAAAGAGGAGGGGGTGGGTGGAAATGGTTTTTGAAAAGAGTAACCGTACTTCAGGATGAAGACATCCGCGGTCGGCTGATGCCGCATACCCGCGCGCTGTCGGAACTGTCAGGGGACGGCGCGCGTTAATCAAGCGCGGTAGGCCGCGGGTGATTAGCTTAATTGGGAAAGATGCCATACCGGCCCGGGGCCGGGATGCGAGCGCTGACAGCCCCCCCGCGCCCCCCTCCCTCGGCGGG